GGGCTAGTCCAGGTGCAAGAGTTAGCCGAGAAAAGGCTAGATATAATGGGCCAAGCGGTGTTTAAGAGAATACAGTTTCCGTGTAATTATTTCGGGTAAAGTTAGCCGTGAGAGCGGCCGGGTGCCGGGGACACAGCCCCGCCGCTCTTATTACTACAACTCATAAATATTATATATAATCTGTGGTAATTATAAAATGCTAAGATTCTTGAGGCTTTACTCAAACAGTTTTAGTATTATTTGTCCATTGTCTCTCCTTCTCCTTCTGTACTGACCTCCCTCCGCTGATTCTCAGTGGGTGCCCCCCCCCCTCCACATTTCCAACCTCACATCACCTGGCCACACCTCTCATCAAAGCAACTTTTTGTTACATCCAATGGGGATCATCACATAAGTAGACATGATTCAGAGATAAACAGAATCAGGGAAACCAAGCTTTAATGGATCCATCTACATCACAGCCTCTGGACCTATGGCTCAGGCGACATTGTGCAAGAGGGGCAGAAAGATAGAAAGCGCCAGAATTCCAGGAAGTTGGTTGTGAAACTATCTCTCCTAGACATAGTTTCATAAACAAGGGGATGTCAATGAACATGTTAACAGGGAAGGAGGAAAAGTTTTCAGAGTCCCACCCATAAGCAAAGACTTACAGGTAACCAGTTACTGCTGGAAGAAGAAGAATTAGCCTTTCCTACAAATAAGCCCCTGATCACTCAATACAGAGGGATCAGCCCTGAAACTATATATAAAGAACAAAACAGACTCAGCTGGCGATATTTATATATTTGCGCAAACATATATACGTAACAGTCACAATCAGAGTAAAGAAGACTATGGATTTGAAGACAGGGGCATGTGATGGCTTTGATGGAGGAAGAAGAAGGAAAGATATATAATTGTACTTTAATTAAAATATAAGAGTAAGTAAGTGTTTTAGTTTGGGGACTTTTTAAAAAGATCTATCTATCTATCTATCTATCTATCTATCTATCTATCTATCTTTCATCTATCCATTCAGTATTCTGTCTGCATGAATGCCTACATGCCAGAAGAGGGCAAAAGCTGCCATATGGTTGCTGAAAATTGAACTCAGAACCTCTGAGCCATCTCTCCAACCTGTAAATAAGTTTTTTTTAAGTAAAACAAATCTCACACAGCACTGAGAACTGAGTATGTCAGAGCTTCCAGTCCTCAGAGCAGAGCAGCACCTAGCTCAACTTTTAACCCTGGAAATAGAGTTCCTAATACTTAATTTAGATTGGAAATGTTCCCATGCACACATCCTTTGAGATCACTTCTAACTGATTATAAGGAATTAGAAAAGTGAATGGAACATATAATCACAGTAATAAGAGCTATAGTTATTCAGCACCCACTATGCAGTTAGTTTAGGGTTTTATACACTGTACTACTATTTTTAGAGTGAGCATTGTTTTGCTAATTTTTATATACTATATTTAAGTAGAAAAGTTCAGGGTAGTTAGAACCAAAGCTACTCACAGAGAACTCAGGTTCTGTTATCTCTTCTCTACCTACAAATCCACTCATATTCCTAGTGTGATGAGAGCCTCATCTAAACATGGACGCATGCTTGAAGATGTATCCATCAATTGTGTCTGACAGTATAGTGCACCGAACAGAGGTGTTTTAACCACAAATGCTAGAATACATGTTCTTAGCTAGCCAAGAGGGAACACACACACATACACACACACACACACACACACACACACACACACACACACACACACACCAAAACCAAACAAAACCCCACAAACAACAACAACAAAAACAGGTAGAAACTACAGAGGCTAAAGGGATGTCTGTACCATGGGGATCTAAGGCTTCCACAAACATACATGGAATGCTGGTGTGAGATCTTGAACATTATTCTATTTTACTGTCAAGCTACAAATAAAGGATGAGCCTCTTGATGGAGTATCCAATACAGAGTAATCTTCACTGAAACTATATGTTCAACAATAAGAAACAGCAGGTTGTATTTAATGGACTCAGCAGGTTGTGTATGTGTGTGTGTGCAAGTGAGTACACACACACAAATAATAATAATACAAAGAAGCTATTAACTTGAACGTGGGTGGGGATACAGGAGGGATTCAAGGAAGGTATTTTGGAGGGGCGAAAGAGAGAAAGGGGAGGGGAAAAGTGATGTAATTCTATTTCAGTCAAAACCTTTCTTTTAAAGGCTACAAATATCGGCACACATCTGGAACAATGCTGGTATCATCTATCAAACTCCCATTGAACTCAATAAACCATGTAAGTTCTTAGAGGAGGTCAATTTGGGACACACTTGCATGCTCCAGACAGAGCGGGAGCCCAGTGATACATGAACAAAAGTCCTAGGAAAAGACAAGTTTAAAAGAAATTCTTCCAATGCAACCCATTAGCAATCTATATTATTTAACTATCATATCTAAGCATATAAGCATAAATGGATAGTCTGTATATCACTAGAAAAACTAATACTCAGTGGACTACACTTTTACAGCAGACACACCTCTAATGGCCACCATTCCCACTCCATTTCAATGCAAAAATTCACCACAGGTAGGTTTATATATAACCAGCTGAGGGATCAATTTTAGACATTACTAGCTTGAGGGCTCAAGCCACTAATCTCCTGTTCTTACCCACAGCATATCTGTGGATTCACATCCTACAGGAGGACACTTTGGTCGTTAACACGATCTAGACATTTCCCATCACCCCCCTTTCTCTCTGCAAACACAGAGGTGATAAATCTAGTGAATGTGTATATTGCAGTCAGCTTTGCTGTAACGCTTGCTTTGATAAACAGTTTCTTCCAGCATGATTGATCCATTAGGGACCATGCTGAACATATGTGGAATTGGCATTTGTTTACATGCAATTCTCTCCTAGAATCTCCAGGTTATTAAACAAAACAAAATGCACCAGATAAGCTGAACAGGTGGGAGCACACACGGAGCTCTCATCTTAGGATCCAATGAGCCACAAGTGGTCACTCTAGCGGCACTGCTGTTTCTACCTGTTCTCAGGGGACTTCCCTGTCAGTTCCCCTTCACCTATGTGCCTTCATCCTGACCAGTAGGGCACACCTTCCATTCCACTTAACACTCTGTCTGCTTTTTTCCCTCACCGCTCTGCTTTCCACTCTTGTTCTCCACATTTATCTTTATCTTGCATGTAAGTCTGAGCAGGAATGGGTATAATTGTGCTTATAAGACAGAGACGCACACGTTGGGTTCTTTCCAAGGTAAAGAATCATCTTATTGCAGTTTTGATACATTCAACGATTTAACAATCACAAGACTAGAATATTATTTAATTACATCCCTACTGTGTGTACAGCTTGGACCATGACATCTGTGAATGCTACAGATGGTAATTTTGTTATTTCTCTGTGTTGTGCAATTCTGTAGAGTGTTGTTGGGAATGCCTGTGCTTCATGAGCGCAGAATGGTGCACAGAGAAGTACTAGCAGTGTATTTTCCTTATTTTAAAGATTATTTTTAGAGAGGTTTTAAATTCAAAGCAAATATGAAAGGGCAAAGATATCTTATATCCGTCTCCACTGTGAGAGTACATTTCTAAATATGAATGCTTCAGGTCATTTCAGGCTAGTTTGCAACTGAGCTAAAATAAATATAGATATGGGTAGATGATAGATGATAGATAGATAGATAGATAGATAGATATATAGGCAGGCTCATGTTGCCTGAAGCTCTAACCCCTTATGAGTATAACCCCTCTAGACAATAAAAGCTAGGTCTGATAGAAGACGATTAAGTATAGCAGTCTCATTTTCTTTTGTTTGGAAGCTCTAGAAACATCTTCGTATATAAATATATGTATTACTGTTTCCACTACAGATCCTTATTTGTTATATATACTTGGTTGTTCATATTAAAACATGGCATATTTCTACAGCTTCTTTGTTGAAACTTCTGTGTTGATGGTGAAAGCAACAGAAAGTTTTTTTCCAGGTCATTAGGTTTTACCTGAACTTAATGACTCACTTACAGCCAAATATGATCTAAGACACATTCCCCTTAAGAATAGCAGGGAAGCACAGCAGGGAGCTGCCTGCCTTTAATTCCCGCACTTGGGAGGCAGAGGCAGGACAGCCAGGGCTGATACAGTAAAACCTGTCTTTAACCCCACCTCACTCCCGCCCCTGCAAAAAAGCAGCGGATTGCAAATAGCGCACAAAGAATGGTCAAGGCAGTCAGTCCCCTTTGCAACTTCAGTGGTCCAAACCCAAACATGTTAAGACAAAGTCACATGAGAATTTCTAAATTATAATGTTTTCCCAGAGGAGTTTGGAACTAAAAGAGGAAAGAGGTCAATTGATGTGGTTTAGTGATCCGGAATATCTGCTGATGGTCCTTGGAAAAACCATTGCACTTACCCACTGAAGAATGATACAATCCTGCTACCCAAGGCATGTGCATTTTCACTTGCATTTGCTAAAAACTGCCACACTAACTGGAAAGAGAAACTGGGCCTCTTGATGAGGAAGGGAGAGAGGAAAGAAGATGCAGCCCATGTCTGGCAATAATTCTTTGAGTCAATTCATTGTGCCATGGTGTAAAACGCAATCTGTGCCCTCAACTGCAATGCCCAAACAAACACGCTGGATTTAACAGTAAGTTAATCTTTGGGAATTGCTTTTTTCTTTTTGTCTTTCCCCGTAGTATATTTATCTCGATACAATTGTGTTATGGGCTAGTTAATTCAGGAGCTAACATCTTTACTTCCATCTTCAGGATCTGGAGATTCTGATCCACCCCCAGAGCCCTGTCTGTAGCCATTTTTCCCCTTTGTAGACGATTTCACTTTCTTACTCAGAAACTTTGGTGAAAAGATACCTGTTTCTTTTGATGTGATTTAAAGATCATTTATTACCAAGAGTCTTGAAGAGAAGACTTCCCTCAACATAAGCAGTAAGTTGAGCTCCCAGCTAGCCACATGCCAGCCCGCCCTCTGAGTCTTACTTGTTCTCATTGCTTGCATCGTAACGAGGCATCGGGTCCAAGTCATTCCCATTGACATCGCAACTTGCCAGAGCATCCTATGACCATGGAGAAGAGATGGGAAACAGACAGTAGTTAGTGCTGGCCCACAAGCTCATGCATTCTTAAATGCATTTCTGCAAGACAGTAATTAGGTTAACGAGTACCCTCAGGGTTCACTAGTTTCAGGCACCTTAGAGAGACAATGCTGGTTCAGTAATAATCACGGTTGTATTGTCCCTTTAAGGTGAGATAGTCTATGTAAACCAAAGGGCTTTTCCTTTCTTACCCAGACTGACCCAGTTCCTAAGATGTTTATCTTGTACAGATGTCTTCAGTTCCACATGTTCTAAGCATTCCCCTAATACTGGGAATATTCCTGACCTTGCAATAATCTTTATCATATTTTAATGTCTTTTAGAAGATAAAACAATCGTTCACATATAACTGGTAGGCCAGTTAAGGTATTAGATGTTTATTTTATCAGGTTTCTTGAGATATGCATTGTACAACATTAGTGTTGTTTAATTTTTATTACATAAAAGCCTTCAAATGTGATTCTTAGTATTACCCCACAGCTCTGAGAGCAGCCTAAATAACGAGCAAAGCTGTCTTAAACCAGGTTTAAAATGAGGAAACAGAACCTCTGAAGCCAGAGTTAGATTTGTTTGCTTTCAAAATGGTTAGGAAAAAACTCCTGAATACTAAGGACAACTCACAGGGTCACTTCCACTGATTTTTTATTCCTGCACTTAGATTGTTCCAGGATATTATCCAATCCTCTATGCTTTATAATTTTGTCTATGCCCAGGGTTAATAATAGCCAATATTATCTTTGCTTCCATCTTCACCAAATGCTTGTGTTCCTGAAAATAAGTTTTAGTCTATTGAAGTTGAAAGGTTTTGGAGAGTTAAGCACAATACATGATGCCATAACGTTAAGTTCTACTTTGTACACACAGGAGCCCTGTCACCTCTTAGTGACTGCCAGAGCTGAAAGTGCACTGAGCTAGTGACTGAAACATAACTTGAGCAAAGGGACTAACCTGGGCCTGTCTCGACATGAAAGAAATCAGATGGTTTGCATTTCCCTGATAGCTAAGGAGGTTGAGCATGACCTTAAGTGTCTTTTGGCCATTTGAACTTCTTCTGTTGAGAATTCTCTGTTCAGTTCAGCACCCCATTTTTTAATTGGGTTAATTAGAGTTTTAATGTCTAGTTTCTTGAGTTCTTTATATATTTTGGAGATCAGACCTTTGTCTGATGCGGGGTTGGTGAAGATCTTCTCCCATTCAGTAGGTTGCCTTTTTGTCTTAAAGACAGTGTCCTTTGCATTACAGAAGCTTCTCAGTTTCAGGAGGTCCCATTTATTCATTGTTGCTCTTATTGTCTGTGCTACTGGGGTTATACATAGGAATTGGTCTCTTGTGCCCATGTGTTGCTGACTACTTCCCACTTTCTCTTCTATTAGGTTCAGCATGGTCAGATTTATATTGAGGTCTTTAATCCATTTGGACTTGAGTTTTGTGCATGGTGATAGATATGGATCTATTTTCATTCTTCTACATGTTGAAATTCAGTTATGCCAGCACCATTTGTTAAAGATACCATCTTATACCTGTCAGAATGGCTAAAATCAAAAACACCAATGATTGCCTATGCTGGAGAGGTTGTGGAGTAAGGGGAACACTATTCCATTGTTGGTGGCAATGCAAACTTGTTCAACCACTTTGGAAATCAGTGTGGCGGTTTCTCAAGAAACTGGGACTCAACCTACCTCAGAATCCAGCAATTCCACTCTTGGGAATATACCCAAGAGATGCCCAATCATACTACAAAAGAATTTGTTCAACTATGTTCATAGCAGCACTATTTGTAATAGCCAGAACCTGGAAACAACCTAGGTGCCCCTCAATAGAAGAATGGATAAAGAAGGTGTGGCACATATATAGAGTTCTTCAGTAGTAAAAAACAATGCTATCTTGAACTTTGCATGAAAATGGATGGAAATAGGAAACACTTTACTGAGTGAGATAACCCAGATCCAAAAAGATGAATATGGTATGTACTCACTCATAAGCAGATTCTAGCCATAAATAAAGAACATAGAGCCTATAGTTTGTGATCCTAGAGAAGCTAAATAAGAAGGTGAACCCAAAGAAAAACATATAGTTATCCTCCTGGATATTGGAAGTTGACAATATCGCTGGGAGAAAGTTGGGAGCAGGGGGATGGGGAGAGAGAAGGGAGAAGGGGAGGATGGGGGAGAACTTGGGGGAATAGGATAATTGAAATGGAGGAAGGGTGGATATGGGAGCAGGGAAGAAGCTATCCTAACCAAGGGAGCCACTTTAGGGTTGGCTAGAGTCTTGGCTCTAGAGGGGTTCCCAGGTGTCCAGGGGTATTTCCCCAACTAGTTCCGTGGGCAGAAGAGGAGAGGGAGCCTGAACTGGCCTTATCCTATAGCCACACTGATCCTTGGGCAGCTGAGGAAGGGAGCCTGAAATGGCCCTATTCTATAGCCAGACTGACGAATATCTTGCATATCACCATAGAACCTTCATTTGGCGATGGATGGAGATAGAGACAGAGACCCACACTGGAGCACTGGACTGAGCTCCCAAGGTCCAAATGAGGAGCAGAAGGAGGGAGAACATGAACAAGGAAGTCAGGACCGTGAGGGGTGCGTCTACCCACTGAGATGGTGGGACTGATCTAATGGGACCTCACCAAGGCCAGCTCGACTGGGACTGATGGAGTATGTGATCAAACTGGACTCTCTGAATGTGGCTGACAATGAGGGCTGACTGAGAAGCCAAGAACAATGGCACTGAGTTTTGATTCTACTGCATGGACTGGCCTTGTGGGAGCCTAGTCTGTTTGGATGCTCATCTTCCTAGACTTGGATGGAGGGGGGGAGGACCTTGGACTGTCCACAGGGCAGGAAACCTTGACTGCTCTAGGACTGGAGAGGGAAGGGGAGGGGAAGTGGGGAGAATGGGAGGGAAGTGTGAGGAGGGGAGGAGGTGGAAAAATTTTAATAAATAAATAAAGAAACCAGATGGTAGCCCAAGTCTTTGTTCTGAACAATCTAATGCTTTCTCTGCTTTTATATGGCCGTCAAGGGGGGGGGGGGGATCTGAGATAGCACTGTCATTGGGAATCATAGAGAACATTCTTTCAGAGTGAAAACATAAACGAGGCAAAAATTGTCGTATCACCTGCAGCAGGTAGAAGCACACAGAAGCTCTCCTGGCATGTGACAAGACAGATATCCCTTCTGGTGTACCGGTAAGCTAGAGTTCTGATCTCATCTCATCTAAGATAACCGACTTCAATCTCCCGTCTTTAGTTTCTTTACCCGTATCTGAGGAGACTTTATTGAAGTTCAAGCTTTAAATTCTATGCTGCAAAGAGGTAAAAGTTTATTTGAATGTGCTTGTCCACAGGGTGAATTTAGCCACTGATTCCTGTTCAAAGTAGAGCTAAATGAATCTTCCTTTTCATCTTAAGAAAGGGATTGATTGGTATGTAGTACTGGGTGGCAAAGGAAAAGAAAGTCTCTTTGCAACAGACAGAGACCATTACAGAAAGCCACAACCAATCAAAATGTAGAATGTGGAGCCCACTCCCAATGAGTACATCTACAAAAATCACTTCTGCATGGCAGGTACAAGGAATACTGGGGCAGAGGAGGCAGAAACAATGTAAGAGCCAGAGGCACAGGGAGTGAGATTATGTCTCCTAGTAATGTCAGAAGCTACCCCCAGGAAGTCTCACCAACATGGCTGCCTAAACATGAGCTGACCAACGTCAACAACAGAAAGCAGACTGGGTAAGTCCACAGGCCTCAACCCTACACAAATAACTACAGGCATCTACAGATGCCAAGAGTTAGAAAAATAGTCTACCCTAGCGAAGAGCGCATCAATTGCTCATCCAATACTAAATGGTCAGTCCTCCAAGCATATATGCAAATAATATTACACAGACTGAGCAGGTTGTATTTATATATTTAAGAATATATGTATGTATATATAGAGATATATATGTATATACATCCATATTTATGTATGTAACAGTAATTAATAAAAAATGAGGCCACAAATTTGAAAGAGAACAAGGAGGGGTATATGGGAGAGTTTGAAGCAGCAAAGGGAAGGGGATAAATGATACAATTACATTATAATCTCAGAAAGTTAAATAATTATTTTTGAAAAAACAAAGCAGGAAAGAAAAAGATGGCAGAGCAACTGGAGAGAAGTTCTCAGTCTGCTCTTTTGCACAAAGGCAGTGCTGTCTGTCTGTCTCCCTGAATTGTTGAGGATAGTGGGCGTGGCTGGCAACAGAAGGTGTTGATGACAGGGTTCCTAATACATACATACACCATCAGAGGCATGGGGAAGTGGAAGGGTGGTTCCATTCTTGTGCTTCCTCTCCTGCAAGAGTTCTCCTTTCCCAAGAAGGGAATTAAGTACAGAACCTGCCATAACTCCTACTACATTTGTTGGCAGCTCCCCCACCTTCTGAGCATCCCATCAGGGGTCTTCCACGGATGAAGGACTTCCGGCCACAACAAGCACTTACATAGTTTTGCATCAGATCAGGGTGGGTTCTCTCGATGCCGTCATCCAGGATAGTCACCACGATGTTCTTCCCCGTGTAACCTCGCTTCCAGGCTCCCTCAATATTCATGTCTGACTGGCAGGGATGTGTGTTGTCGCTGCAGTGCTAGGAAGGAAATGGACATTGTAGATGATTGAATTGTGAGCAGACAGGAGAATTAGCCACTTGTGATGATAGTATTGAACTGACAGTAAGTTGGTCTGCTGTCTATCAGAAGAGAGTTACTGATCCCCTGAGAGGTAGCTGGGATGATACAAGAGAGGTATATGAGGAAACAGAGTAAATACAAACTGGTCAGTACTGGGAACCAGTTTGGGTACCATAGGAAGTTCTCAAAAATCTAGTATGTCAACAGAATAAGGGGCATCTCATTGTCACCATGCCTTAATGAGATGTAAATAACCCCTGTTGCGTTTCACTATAAACCTAGAGAGGAATGAAGAGCACACATGCTCCCATGTCTTAGCCAGACACCTAGGACCCAATCCAGTGGCACGTGTACAGCTCACTAGAGGTGTGCTACTGTGAGGGAAAAAAAGCGCTCCAAAAAACAGGTTCTCCAAATGTCTTTCACTAAACTCAGTGAAGGGCAGAGTCACTCAAAGCTACTGAGAGAAGCCTGGGAATAGTACAAAGCCAAGACGGACACTCTACCCAGGAAAATGTATATGGGAGCTTCAAGGGCCAGGCTGAAAACATAACATCTTGGCTCATTACGCACAGAAATTTCATTCTCTTTGCAAGAGCTACAATGTCCAAACACACTGAAAAAGGAATGGAGCCAGCAGCTTTTTCTGATATAATTTACTAATGTTGGTTCAACCCACATAATTGCTCCTTTCAAGTCCATCTCTTTGAAACACTCCCGAGGGTGGCTGTGTTCCTGGCTCTTAAGACTCAGAAGAAGTACCAAGGAAGGGATGTGTGACTCGATACTGTCATAGCAACCCCAGCGACTGCTCGCCATTCACCACTCACTACATTCTTCCCGACGCTAAACAAATAGCTCAGTGCTTAGGAAATGGAAAGGGGATGCTAAGCTTTCTCTGTTCTAAACATAGTGGAGTCCTTGCTGCCACTGATGGACTTAACACACATCCTATTGAGCACTTACTGTGTGCTCAGTGTGGATGCAACCAAAATATTTTAGGTGTTCATTCTAGAGGCGTGGCGCAGAAAGCAGAAAATGAACAAAGAAGATGACTGAGAATGGTCACTATGGTTTGAAGGGGTTGGAGAGAGAGAGAGAGAGAGAGAGAGAGAGAGAGAGAGAGAGAGAGCGCCATATGGTGGTGAATGCTGAGGGGTCAGAGTGTACTGCTTTAGGGGACCTGTCTGAAAGGGACTTCAGTCAAGGCATGTGACCATATTACTGTTGAGGACTTGATAGTAGAGAGTGGAGAGATGGTCCAAGAAAGAGCCAGGCACTAGTGTCCTGATCAGCGCAGCAAATGCTAGCACTAGGAAATAGGTAAGCATAGGGAGAAAAATGGTAGGGACTACTGAACAGACTGACACAGAGGATAGGAAGCTAGCAAAGGAGGAAAGGGCACTCTGGGCCTGGGTACCCACTGTTCACTACCCTGTCTACTGACCAATGCTGTTTCCTTTCACCCTCTAGTTCCCTGAGCACAGCTCTTGACTCACATAGCCTCCTAAGACTCTTCTCTTTTTCCTTCCCAGGAACTTAGGAGCCCAGGCTTGCATATGCACATGTGCACTTGACTTAGGAGCATATGAACATGTGCACTTGACTCAGGAGCATATGCACATGTGCACTTGACTCAGGAGCATATGAACATGTGCACTTGACTTAGGAGCATATGAACATGTGCACTTGACTCAGGAGCATATGAACATGTGCACGTGACTCAGGAGCACAGGCTTGCATATGCACATGTGCACTTGACTTAGGAGCACAGGCTTGCATATGCACATGTGCACTTGACTCAGGAGCACAGGCACACATATGAACACGCACACTTGCCCCACACACTCCAGCCCACACTTGCTGTACTTCTCACAGCTGAAACTTGTGCTTCCGTCTCCCTGACTAACCTATGGACTTAAGTCTAACTTAGGATTTCATAAATGCTGATTAATCCATATACTAAGAATGAACGAGCAGCCTCAACTTCATTTTCCTTAAAATTGTCATTATGTTTCCTGCTTTGACCTCTTTGGCAAAATCCAGCCAGTTACTTGTTTGGCTAAAAGAAACAATAGCAAAAAGAAGTCATGTAGATTGCTAAAATACCTATTTTTCCAATTGTCCCATTCTGGCCAAGCCCGTGGGTCTCTTCTCTCCAAATATTTTAATACAGAGCAACCTTATTTCATCTTAATTTTTTTTCAAACCTGCTGTGAGCACCTGTGGCATCCATTGTGACTGGGAGTGATGTTAATGTGACTGAGGGGTGGGCTGAAGGAAGGAAATGCACAGGAAATGGGCAAGCCACAAATGGAATAAGCATCCTAGACTGGAGGGATGCAGCTTGAAGTTGTAATTATGAAAGCTGAAGAACACCAGCCGTCAATGGAAAACAGGTGTGGTCGAGTGAGCCATGACCTTTTGGAACACTTCCATCTCTGCTTCTGCTGAGTCTAACTTTGGTCTTTTTAAACATTCTGTTACTACCGTTTGTATCCATCTACCCATCCATCCCCACAGAATCACTGGTGGTAGCGGGGAAATGTGCAACTGGTGTATTTATTTGGTAATCTAACATGGAATGCAACCCAAATATCAAAGAGAAAATGATACTGCTAATAAAAATATGATGAGGATAAACGGGTTAATAAAAGCCTAGATTATTTCTTGCAGACAAGTAATAAATCAGAAGCCACTTGAAGGATCTACTGTGAACAAGATTAGAATCCTGGATCCTCAAAGAGAACCCTTGATTTTTTTAAAGAATATTTCAGTTTCAGTTGCCTAGGTTTCCAAACATGTTACTAACATAGTTGTTTCACCTGAGATACTCAGAGAAAAGAAGATAGGCATTACTGATGTCACCCAGCAATTAAATGAGAATGACCTCACCATTTCCTGAAGAGCCTGATGAAAGTGGTCTTTATACTGGCCTGCATCTCTGAGTAATGCAATTCCATTGGTGTCCATGCATAGGTGACTAAGTTTTTAGAAACAAGACTGAACATAGAAAATGGAAACAAGCTTTTGTGTCCTCAAAATTATATTGTAGGGTTTGCTCAATGAATAGCTTATATCCTGAGTAAATTATCCCCAATATACATTTTTTTTTTATGTCTTCATCATTAGGAAAAGGAAAGAGGAACCACATTCTTTTTAAACTTCTTTGAATTCTGAGAGTCCCTGTGGTGGTTTGAATAAGAAAGGCCCTCATGAGTTCATGTATTTGAATACTTTATCATTGGGTAGTGACACTATTTGAAAAGGATTAGGAGGTATGGCTTTGTTGCTGGAAGAGTGCAATTGGAGTGGAACTGAGGTTTCAAAAGCCCATGCCAGTCCTCTGTTCCCCACCTATGGACCAGGGGGTATTCATGTACTGCCCCAGCCCTCCCTGCATGTTGCCATGTTTCCCACAAGGGTTATTATAATGGATTAAACCTCTGAAACTGTAAGCATGCCCCCAGTTCAACAGTTTCTCTTTTAATAGCTACCTTGCTCTTGGCATCTCTTAACAACAAGAGAAAAATGACTAACAGTCCCGCCCCCTAATAAACTGCCATTTTTTTGCTATCCTTAAGAGTAGAACCTAGGACCTTGTGCATGCCAGGCAAGAACCCAGCCACTGAGCTGCATCCACAACTCTTGAACTTCTGTTACACGTTGTCAATAACCTGCTGTCATTGAAAATAACCACTGCTCAAAATAGCCATCGATGAGGTCCCTGCTCATTACTGACAGCAGCACACAAGCCCGCAATTCTGACTATATAATATTCATAACAACATATAATCAAATATGCAAAAATATGTCCTGGAGACATATTAAGAAATTGTTCTCTTTGGCTTTCCTATTGCTAAGGTAAATACCATAACCAAAAGCAACATGGGGAGAAAAGGGTTAGTCTGTCATACACTTCCCTAAGGGAAGTCAGGGAAGTAACTGAAGGTGGGAATCCCAGGCAGAAACTGAAGCAGAGACCCTGGAGAAATATTTATTACTGTCTTACTCCCCATGGTTTGCTCAGTTTGCTTTCTTGAATAACCCTAGAACCACCTGCCCAGGAGTAACCCCTCTGTGGACTGGACCATCTCCCATCATTAATTCTTCCATACTCTTGCCTTCTGATGAAGGCATTTTCTTAGTTGAGATTCCCTCTTCCCAAATAATTCCAGTTTGTGTCAAGTTGACAGAAAACTAACCAGCATAGAAATATTATCAAGTTAGCTCAGAAAGTATATGAATACCTGAAGTTCTTTGTAAAATTTAGAAGTGAAGAGTTGTACCAAATCAACAGGAGTAGAATTGATACTCCTCCAATACTAGACCTACTACTATGTCCTATTCCTAGCCAACTCTTGAACTAATTTCTTCACTTCAATAGCAATATGAAATTACCCAAGGAAGTCCACTGTTTTTCAAAACCATCAAACTCAGCAACAATAGCTAAGAACATTTGTTTAAAAGGAAACGAGGAAGACAGAATTTGAGTTGTGTCTGCTTCTTTCTGGCTGAATGATTTGTCAAGTTGCTTAAATTATTAAAACTGTGTTTGCTGTTTGAATATAAATGCTAGTCATACATATCAGGGACAATAAAAACACAACAATGTCATTATAATGATCCTGTTGCTGTTGATGACAGCACATTCATATGAGTCCTTGGTGTTCCCAATTGCTTAGAGAAGAAATCTTAGTTTAAAAATGAAAAGGGAAGTGGGGGGATTGGGGGGAAATGGGAGGTGGGGAGAAGGTGGAAATTTTTAATAATAATAATAATAAAATAAAGTTTAAAAAAATGAAAAGGACAGGCAGTCCACTGTAACCTTATGAAAGGATTGTCTTCTCGTTCTGGAGAGTCAGGTTAGTCAACTGAGAAAGGGCAATGGATAAATGGTAGGGACATCTGAGAAGACGTGAATGAGTATTTCACATCTGCAGTCTTGTTGATGGGT